CTACGGGCTTTTCCCGAACAGTACTAAAACTGTACTCTCACAGTCACTGAATACTAAACGATCCTATTTTTAGGCCTCCAGTCCAGGCAGTCACCAACTTTTCGCGTGTCATAATAGTATGAAGGATTTTCCTAGAAGCTTCAAGGCCTCGCCTTCTGTACAACGCTACCGGGCTCTAAGCAACGCAAACCTGCAACATGTCTCTGGCCCCCAGAAAAGCTGTGAAACGCTCCCCTTCTGTGGCCAAAGCACGATTTTTGCCGCTTTCTTTTTCAAGCTACCCCTTGCCAAACACACTCTCCGGTAAAAAAAAGCCTCCCAAAACGCAAAATGCTTACAGTGCAAAACACGCTGTGGCGAGAGCACGATTTTCAAGCAAAAAAGATCTTGAGACCTCCCGACCAAAACACACTCAAAATTCGACAAAACGGCTCGTAAAAATGCATTTTCACGAACAGTTTGCGGGCGCTTCTAGTGTTTCCCATACAAAACGCGGGTTTCGCTCGAGTTTTGGCCACTCGGACGTCTTGCGCTGACAAAATATGTCTCCAAACGCACGGCCCCGTACAGACGCCGTCACCTTGTTCATGATAAGCAGACAAACTATCACAACCAACATGAATACTTGAAAACATTGGGATCGAGCTTTGGGGCTTGCAGGCTTTTGGGTTCAGGCCGCGTCTTGACTTTGAGAGGTGCTGTACTGCAGTCACGTGGCTAGCTTGGTCTCCAACTCCGCACACCTTGCGCTGTCTGCACGGACTACAATCGGGCCGAGAAGGAGAAGGTGAGGCAGGAGGAGTATTGCTCTTCATGCGATGAGCAACATGGAACTGATGATATTTTACTCAGGATGATGAGGATGAGCTTAGCAAGGCGAACAAGACGATGCTGATCAGTGTGGTGCACGGTGACGAGTATTGCTGATGCTGGCCCTGATGATGCTGATGTTGATGATTGTGATGATGATGATGATGAAGAAGATGATGATGAACAATACGGCGAGCACGACGGATGACGACGAGGTTGCTCATGACGATTGATGGCCACGTTGACGATGATGGTACTCAGGAGGAGCAGTTGGGGAGGAGGACCATCAGCACAGGAAAGGATGAAGACAAAGATGACGACGATGACGAGGTGATTTTGACATATATTGACATGACAGGCTCGAAGCATCTTACGATGACAGCTGAGCCCGAAACATGGCTTCCAACCTCTTGGCTTCCTCGATGCAGGGGGCGACAGGCTTTCACACCGATAAAGAGACATCTGATCGTAGGCTCGTTACTGCGCTTTCGGACTCCAGCTCTCTGTGAGTTTGGTCCATGCGCCATCGCTCAGCCTGCATCATGGGGCCAGATGGGGCCAGAACTTTCAAAAACTGCCAAACTCATGCGCGGATGCTGCGCCTCCAGCTCTTGCAAGGCCGTGTTGACCTGAGCTTGAGCGTTGCAGGAAAGGCTTGAGAAAAGGTGGTAAGAGTTGGCTCGTGACTCGGCAGGGGGACTGGCCTCTTCCGCAGTTCTGGCATGCTGGCGATCTTGCCTCGCTACCTCGATCGAAATGAGAACCAGCTTTCGGCATGCCCTCCCATGGTTTCTGGAGGCGAGGCTCCCTGTCTTTGTGTTCGAAAGAAAGATCCTCAGAAACCCATATGGCCCATGTATGACCTCAACACCGAATAAGCCCTACAACATCCAAAAAAGACAGCCCTCAAGACCCCCAGCAGTGGCCAGGCCTGGTCCGTGAAGGCGTGACGCTGCTGCTGCAAGAAAAGTGTGGCCTCCGTAGTACGACTTCAAGGCCACAGGCAATGGGAGTTTCTGGAATGCTTAGGCTATTAGGACTGAGGTTAATCAGTGTGATTCGACAGGGTTTGGATTTTTGGCTTCGGGTGGGGCATGGGGAGACAAGAAGTGATTGGTCTAATTATGCAGTGCAAAGGCGGAAAGCGGGCTAGCCGATCGAATGCGCTGCTTCTTCTGCCGGGCTGAGAAGCAACGATCCGTGCCAACATGGTACCTTCCTCTAACACGTACGTACGATCAGGGATGCGGACTTCGGGTCAAAGTTCCAAGTCAAGGCCCATCAGGGCTGTGGATTGTTCTTTTCCCTATCCAGGCCGGCTGGCGATTTTTCTTGGAAAAGCAGAGACTTGGGAATGTGAGGTCTATAGTACATAGACAAAGCGCCTTGCAATCCAAGCCCAGTTGCTCAGCGCTGAAGGGCTCTGCTGCAACATTCTGAACGGGTTCTGAACCAAGAATCTTCAAGCCTATATAGAGGTCTGTAGAGCCCACCAGGCTAATACTATTACTTAAACCGGAAAACCACCGGCCAGGAGGGCCTCAGCCAGTTCTGCATCAAGCTGCTGCAGCTCTGCACGGAGATCTTGAACTGCGCAGCCCTCCATCCGGCGGATAGAGGGACTACGGGCTGAGGCACGCCCATTTAGGAAATCCGGCGTTGAAGCTGATCTTCAGTGTTCAAACCACTGCCTCGTTCACACTCCAGTCTCCATTCATGGCACGAGCAGGATGAATGACTCTGCAGGGGCTGGGGGCCTTGCGGCCCGCTCTTATCCAGCTGTGTGAGCCTGTCACTATTTACATAACTTGAAATACGAGACACTGACACGCAAGCGCATGCCCACTCGTGCACATACAGAACAGATGGATTTGTATGTCTGGTTATGTCTGCATGCTTATTTCTGTGCGTCGGTCGGTCTCCGTCTGTCTGACTGCGTGTCTGTTTCTGCGTTTGTCCGTGTGTCTGTATGTCGCTCTGACACATACATACCAACATACACAACACGAGTATGTATGTATTCATGTATTATCATGTATTATCATGTATTATCATGTATTATCATGCTTTATCATGTATTATCATGCATTCATGTATGTATGTATGTATGTACGTACGTATGTACGTATGTATGTATCTATGCGTACGTGCGTAGGTACGCACGCGTGTATGCATGTTCATTTACGGCATCCATATATGTATCGATGGCAAACGCATTTACATGTATTTTGTATTCTGTACTAAAGCAAAGGAGCTCTATGGTGCACAGTTCACATCCTAGTGTTTCCCAGTGGATATAATGCATCCAAGACAGGATACGAGTAGCATGTGTACGTATCAAGGAAGCTGTTCTCGCTGCAGCCAGCTGAGGCGGAAGCAACACGAACGGCTTACACGCAATCTCCGCGATGCATATGGAGCTGCTGTCTGCTTGGGGCGGAGTGCGCACTGGACAGCTTGCATGCACGCACTGCGCATTTCTGTGCACGAGCAGCACTTCAGCAATAGGTCACACCTGACATAGGGCAGAAAGAACCTAGGGCGCAACTTCTGTACACCTGCCATCCTAGGACGGGGCACGCAGGACCAAAATATCCGGGCGGCCCGTCCCAGACAGCTCACTAGCATTTAAACTGCGACGATGTCACACCACAGGCCTCAAGGATCTCAAGATGGGCTTCTAATCCGTTTGACGATGGCCTCATGAGTATCTCATCAAGATCGAACTAATATCGCCGCAGCTGTAGCTCGACAGAGAGAGAGAGAGAGAGAG